GCAGTGCTAAAATCTGCCCTTACACCGAGGAATATTATTTTCCACACCTTTACTAAAACTCCCCAAAGTATCTGTTTCAAGTATCTTGTGTTTGCTCACATTGTGTGCAAACAGTTAAGATGCTTGGATGTGAAACRTTCCCTGAATTCAATATATTTCCTCTGGATAGGGAATCACATTGTTTTTCTATTTGTCTCRGAATATCAAATCATAGTAGGTGTGATAAGAGTATGCTGCATATTAACTCACATAAACTGCAAATGGAAAACACAGAGAATTTGTGTTCATCTTATTTGCTTTAAGTATGAAATATTAAGGATCTCCTTATTTCTCCTCGAGTGGATTCACAGACTATGAGATGTTTSAGCTGATGAGAACACTAAATGAGACTGCACGAAAAAAACAAATACTATCCAAGACTTTTTCAGAGTCCTCAGTGTACAGGCTGAAAACAACAAATGTTTTGGAAACCCATGCCAAGTGTTTTATTTATTTTTTTTTAAGGATCAGCAAGTTCACCCATCAGTCAGGCCTGTCCCACTCACCTTGTGGCCATTCAYACCAGAATCAGGACTGTGCTACACAAAAGCCAAGTGGGGCTGCAAGGGACAATAATTAAAAACAGTGGAAATGCACTGACAGCTCAGACAAACCCTGATCGTGCCTCTTGCAGCAGATGCTAAGAGCATTTGGTGTGGTATTGTTCTGTCACCAGCATGGTCAGGGGAGYAGAGCCTCAAATGGGGGAAATTCACAGATCTCTGCAAAATGACTGAAAAAAAAAATCCTTTGACTTAATGCCTCAAAGCATCACATTGCACACCTTCAGCACGGCATGGTAAAGGCAGCCACCTTATGATATAAAATATCATAAATAGCTACATTCAGTTAAGGACCTTCTTCCAAAGACCATGCTTTGAAATKCCACTCAATCCTACAAAATAATCCAGGAGTGATCACACAAGGTGGTGTTACACCGTCTTAACMCATGAGAAGTGTTCCATAAACATTAAAGGCAGCACACATTTAAAAGAAAAATAAAGACCAAGACTTCATTTTCAAACGCTTGCTGGAAAATAAATCGGAGAGAAGTAGCTTAAATAAAACCCTAATCTTTTTTAACCAAATGGATTAGGCAGATGAGAAAGCATATASTACATTTACTGTTTTCCATGCCTTTATTCTGATTTCCATGCCTTTATTCTGTTTAAATTCCTTATATTAATTTCAACCTGTGAAATTTATAAAAGTATGTGTGCATTAATCTGTGCCAACATTTAAAATAGCTACAAAGTTAATTCCAGATTATATCACCTGTACATACACATTTATATTCTGCCCTGTTGGCTTACTTAACGTTGACCAAGATACTCCTCCCAATTTAAAAGAAGGTTTATTTTGCTTGTAATTGTGCTGAGACATTAAAGAAAGTAGACTAAACAGAAATAATTGATTTTCTGATACCAAATCTTTTGGGAAATTCCACGAATAGGGGCCAAATTCTGCTGGCCTCATTTATGTGGAATAATACCCTAGTAAATAATTATGGCCTCATTTATGTGGAATAATACCCTAGTAAATAATTATGGTGAAGTCAACCCTGCTGCAAAAACCAGACCCAGACTGAGGAGCACCATAATCTTTTTTGCAAATCTATGTAGATGTACATTTTCTCCTGTTATGACAAGTGTGTGTGAGCAACAGTAAAAATAACCAGTGGCAATGGGATTAAAATCAGGAAAAAACAAAGACTTAATAGCACCATGGTTTCAGTAAACACACAGTCTGAAATCTTTGCTCCCCAGATGAGTATTCATTATTCTTAGGCACTTCCTAGGCTCCAATGTACATATTCAAGTACAGATGTGTGCACATGGCTTGAGTCCTTGTCATTCTTAATAACATAAAATGTTATAGGACAGCACAATTACACACATGGGCTTTGTATGGAGCCATCCTGTAATGAGAGGTCAGAGAAATTCTGTCCTTATACACTGCTTGCTTTATTTTGCAGACAGGTAGTCTACATTCCTTGTCTTAATAATTTTTTATTCATCCAACTCCAAGAAGTTTATTTCAAAACTTGCACGACTATCACCTGCCTATACTGCTACTTTAGGGGGAATTTCCTGGGACAGACATTAGAGAGAAAGAAAATAGGAAAAAAAAATCTGCTTCCATTCAATCAGGCTGTAACTGAAAACCTGCTGCTTGCATGTACTCAGAATACTTTGAATTTAACAGATCATGTCCCCTTATACTTTATCCATTTGGATGTGAGCAGGACTTTTTCACCACTTTCAGCTCTTTATTATGGTCAGCTGTACCAGGAATAAGAACTTAAAACTTGAGGGAGGTGAGTTGAGAACTGAATGGGGAACAAAAGGCATGCCTGAGATCAGAGAGAGAAAAGAGGGGGATTAACTTGTTGGCTGGCAAATTAAAGGGGAGCTTATGAAGTGATAAGGAAGCAGAATAGAGACAGAAATCTAGTGGGAATGACTGAGAAAAAGGTGGTGAGGGATGGGAAAAATCATCACATTGCATAAAGATGTGAGAGAAGCTGRATGCAGGGGATTGGAGAAGATGGTGTCAGAGGGAGAGAAAACAGCCAGATGGTTAAAGCCACCCACAACTATCACTGCATTGGTATCCAAGCAATTTTTATCATTATTATAATATGTAATAGATGATAAATATTTGTGTATTCTATATTTAAGACACTTACTGTGCTATTGAAGATTATCTCAAATTCTGTAGATTCAGAGCTCCGAAAGACATTTTACTTTGTTTTGAACATTGAAAGTGCAGTATAAGGCTAACTGCTTTCCAAACTCAGGTCCCAGGCATCTTAAAGTGAGATTTGTTTCCTAATATTCACTTTTCTGGGACTGGCATGACACTGCTAAAATGTTACAGAGTGCCAAAGGGAAAGAACATCTTCCACACTGAGCTTGTTTTCCTGAGACAGCGACAAATCGCGCCGTGATGCCAGAGGTGCCACTTGTGAGTGACACAGATAACAGCCCCCAGCACGGGGGAATCTCAACTGCTCCGTGGAGAGCAAAGACCAGACACAACCTTGTTCACAGCATTTAACAGCTTCTAAAGCTACAATGAGCCGTGCAGTTATCTTGGCTTCCTTCCCTCTCAAACACGAGCCACAAAGTTTGGCTGAAGTGATGCATTTATACACACAGCTACACATGTGCTGAGGSGGGATTTCCCTCCCTGCATTTTCTAGAGCATCTTTGGTTCTCTATCAGCCTCCCAGGCCATGGAGAAAACCTGTGACTGGAGACCTGGAACTGTACAAAAATCTTTTAAAAAATRAACTCTGTGGCTTGAAGGACAAATCTCCTCATACAAACTTCCCAACATGTTTTAACTGTGAAATCCTAGAGGCTGTGGCTGAGAGCTTTCACTAAATTAAATGATGGTTGCCTTTTGAATGTTTGCAGTTAAAACTGATTACAATAATTTAACAAATAAGACATACAGGGAGAGATTTGGAGAAACTGTTTCTACGAAGAATAATACACTTTCTCTGTGAGGGGGACCATGCTCTGGCACAGATTGCCCAGAGAGGTTGGATGGAGGTGGAATCTCCATTCCTGGAAGGTATTTWAAAGGAATCTGAACACAGTACCTCCTGGGAGGGTGTTTTTAGCTGACMCTGCTTGAGCAGGGAGGTTGGAATAAATGACCTGCAGGGGTTCCTCCTGTAATACCTGAGATTTAACCATTCCCCATCTATTGCTGCATGAACTGAGATAGCTGCAGTGCCTCCTTTCACATCTCTAGACTGAAATACTTTCCTAAAAGGGAAATAAAGCAGTGCAAAGAGTTTGCTAATTTTCTGATAAATAATTATCATCTACATCTATGTTCATGTAGATGCATCCTATCACTGTAAATAAATTAATGTTTGCACAACCTTTTGAAGATACAAGGCATTTGTGTGTTTGCATATTCACACAGGTACTACTTTTCTTGGATGATAAAAAMAATTCACTGCCTTTTTTAAGGTTAGTACTCAAAATCCAGCTCCCATGTACTTTTTATTCATCAGAGTTGATTGTGCTTTAGCTTCTTTATGGACTCTTTAAAACACACACTAATAAAAGCTTATTGGCTTTTTATTATCAACTGTCTCAACAAACAAATATTGCAGGCTGCAGGGATTTTCTGGTCACTGTGAGCATGACTCCAGATTAAACAGCAATCAATGCATTTCTTACAGTGTCTCTGCCAATTGATGTTTCTGAAAAGCAAGCACATTTTTAGCATCATCCAGGCAATTTGCAAACATACTTCTGCCTTTAAGGGAGTTCTGTTTATTCCAGTACAACACAGGAATGAAGTTTATCTGGGTAAGATGCTGTGATTTACTGACACCTTCCAATCCACAGGTGGTTGGGCAAAAATTCTATGTCAGAAGCACACCAGGTACTTAGGACTTTAACTTGCTATAAATTCTTTGAAGTCAATAGGTAGGATTTAAAAATCAATGGAAGGATATGGCTCAAAAGTGCTTTTTTTTCAAAGCTATAATGGTACAAATATTATCATTGAGCACTCACTTATATTTAAGACCTGAACATTGAAATAAAAGCCTACAAAAGATCTAAAAGTGTGAAATTACATTGAAATCAATGCATTTAGGTCCTTAAATAGCTCATCTGATTCATCCCACCAAGAGTATCTGATTGTCTCTAGAATAGACAGACATTTACAATAGCAATGCTCCAATAGTGGAGTACTTTGAAGTCTGCTACCTTAAAAGTGGTCACAGAAGGACATTAGCAAGAAAAAAAAGAGAAATATTTTAGTTAGGAATTACAGGGTTGAGAAATCATACCTGAGGGATATTGCTCCCACCTGATTTCACCAATTTTGCAGAGTACACTTTGGTTACATTAGAGGTGGGTTTGGTGGAGCATTCTAAGGATGAGAAAGAAATTATTAAAATCACATGGTAGAGTTAAAGAAGGTCTTAATTTTTGGTCTCCTAATGGCACCTGACCCTTCATCATTTCATACCTTTGAAGKCTCCACAGTGATCCAGCACTCTCASGAAAACATGAAGTGTTAGAAGAGTGGTCTGTGTTACAAACACACYTCAAATGYAGCATGCACAGTACATCCCCAAATCCCCCAAACAAATACAACTCCAATGTGGATATTCCAAATACTTATATCATAAAACAATAAAAAATACACAGATAAGGGGATGAACCAACATCATATACAATGTTCCTCTCCAGAAGTCAAATTCTCTCTGSAGCAAACAGAGCTGGTGCCAGCATTAACAAAAGAATCATCATAATTCTTTTCTCCCAAGGAAAGACAGGAGATAACAAAGTCTGAGTCCATGCAGTGCCACTGACTGCTGCTGAACACATTCTCACTGCAGAATCATAATTTGCAAAGAAATGTGGCAATAGCAGAGCTGCAGTACCACTCCTGGGCCACTGCTCAGACAGGCCCCTTTGCCAAGGACTTTGGACACAGAAACCCAGACCTGTAAACAGCTCATTTCATGCTCTGCGAACTTCGAAAAGCTMTTCAAACTGTGAACTCAGACATTTTCTTGAAGGCAATTTTTAAACATTAATACAGACACTTTTCCCATTTTTATTGCAACCTGARATGTTCCTGTAATGTTTCCATGGCAAACTGGGTAACAATACATTYGACATTTCCATCAAATAAATTACATTTAAATTCCAAGTATATCTATAAAAATAATTATTTAAGCTCWAAACCTTGAATCATTTGAGACTGTAAAACCCAGACAGGGCTTAAAAATTTCAACTGTTTATATTATTATCWCCTGCAGTTCTCAAATGTGTGTAGCATCCCCTCACTGAACCTCCTGATCCTTTCACTCACAGATTACTTTGGCCAACAGTCAGTGGTGTGATTAGAGCCTACCAAGGGCTCCTACCAATGGAAAAACAGATTTGAGTTTTAGCCCTTCAATATGCTTCACCAGCTTGTGCCTCCACACTTGAATTCCTGCTTCTACAGGAATTTATGTTTTCCTTGTGCTTTTTTGATAACAATCCAGGTCCTATATGCCAGGCCTGATGGAASAATCCAGCCTGGAATAGTGGGTGGTGTGGCAAAGAGTGATGGAATCCCAAAACTGTTCCCAGGACTTGGAGGTCTAGTTTTTATTTACAGCTCTCTGGAAATTTAGAGACCTTGAGGTGGGATGTTTTGGTAACATTTGGTGAAAGTTTCTAAGGCCTRCAGCCTTATCAGACTAGGCAGTTCTTTTATTTAACATAAATATTCAAAGCATTTTTGTGCAAGTGTAGCTATCGATTCACACGTTTCAAATAATCTGAAATCGTCACAATAATTTCCTCTCCAAGAAACATTAGAGAAAGCAACTCTTTATTTTCATACAGAAATGGAATAATCAAAGTTCATCTGTATTCTCAGAATTGAGGTATTTATTGTTCCACAGGAGTAAAGGTGTTGGATTGAACCCGTCGAGGTGTTCTGTGCATTTCCACTCCGCTGCTGGGTATTCACAGAAATGCCACTTCAACTGTTTACTCTGCATGGAGTAAGGAAGAAGATGAGCCTGCTGAAGACCTTAATAAACTTGAGTCAGATTTTTCTGACAGAGGAAATGGAAATCTGCCCTGGCTGCAMATCTGGGGTGTCTCAGCCAGGTCTTCTGCACAATGCAGGATGTGCTCGGTGCTTCACGATTGAGCTCTTAGTAACAAAAACATGTTTTACATACAAAAATACAGCAGATGTCCTTCCAAAAATCATCTCTGAATTGTTATTCCCTCTCTTTATGTTTTATACATTCAGGAACARACATTTGAGATATCCTGTGAACAGTGCAAAATACTGTTTTACATTTCATAAACCACGTGATGCAGTACCTTTGAGCGCCAGCTGAAGGAAAGGCTGAGAAAAGTTTGATCTTCAGAGCAATTCTGGTCCAAGCTGAATTTTTGTTTAGCGAGCTGTAAACAAACGTCTCGGAATGCAGAGAATCCTCTCACTTCTTTCCAGCTAAGGTGGTCTCAAACACATCGAGTCCTGCTTTGAAGTAAACCTGAGCTGAACTGATGCTGTTGAGCACCTCTGACAAGGCTGCTTGAACGGTCTCATTTGACTGATGCAGTTTGCAGTGCTCCAGCGCCTCCAGCAGCACTGAGAACTGGCTGGTCCTGTCATCCAGTCTGTAAAGGATATTTCTGAAAGAGAGCAATGGAGAGAATGGTAAAATTTTTACTCGGAAACGATCCATCAGATGCCATCAAGAAACCCTGCAAGAATCAGCTCCAGCTTACAGATGATACATATTATGCACAGTAAAGCTGACCTGTGGCAGAGTGAGAGGYAAATGCATATTTATTATGCCTTTGGAAACTGAATCTATTCATTGAACTACGTGTACTTACATCGGAGCAGTCACTAAATCCATCAAAGAAATCTCACATTCCTCTTTGACCATTCAAGATTTTATTCAAAAGCAAAAGCCTAGACCTATCACAGCCCTTGTGAAGGATTTTGTGTCTCAGACAGATTCCATTTATTTTCCTCTAAAAAAACTTTGGTTATTGCTGTAAGCCCTCAGCACAGGTTTGGGTTTGTTTTTCCTATCTGCTTGTGTTATTTATTTCACACTTCAGAGGTGAAATTCCACCTGCATTGAAGTCAATGGTAAAACTCATTGCCTTCAGCAGAGACTTTATTTCATCAATAATCCTCTGTGGCATCAGAACAAGAGCAACCCATCTTTCATGTCCCAWTCTCAAGAAGGGAAACAAACAGCACACGCAGCTAAACCCCTGTGAAACAAAATCTGTGTTTTCCAGTAATATCTGCAAAACTTTTTAATGGTTTGTAGAAAAACACATGCAACATTATTGTGTGATCCCTTGGAAATGTGATCTGTGTGAGGTGTGGAAGGCTCAGAATTCAAAGCTAGTCAGTGATTTTAATGAGACTCTTTGAAGCAGGCTATAAACATTATCCAAAAACAGGTGTAATCATTATTCTAATTAGAGGAGCACATAAATATCATAAATCTCCACCCAGGAGCTCCTTTGATTGTAAACAGAAGTGAGTGAAATTTGAAACAGGAAAGCTACAGTGATTTGGGGCAGAACTTTATCCTTAAATACAGAGCAGGTGTTCAGGGCAAGGGAGAAGTTGTTTCATGGAGCACCCAGCAAGAAATGGGACAATTTACACCCTTTGTTAGTAACCTGACTGCACAACAGAGCAGGCCAAATGGCAACTCCAAATTAGCAATAAAACTGCAAAGTTTATTTACAAAAGACAGATGACCACAAAAGTGCATCTGACCATTCCATGATTCACCTCATTGCCAGGCTGCCTGGGGAAAGGTCACAAAGTGACCAATAATGACACCACAGAACACCTACAATCTTCTGCCATGTTCTCCAGCTTTAAAAAATGTTTTGAATGAGAGGCAATGTTTTTCAAAGATATGAAATAACTCCTGTCCTCCTAGGGCAGTTTTCCAGTCTGTGTTTTTGCCTCACTCTATTGGGTGTAAATCCAAACCCAGCAGTGTGCAGAAGGGATGGCTCTTTTCATCCCCTGACAGAAATGCATCCAGCCAGCTCGAGGGGTCTGCATTGCAACACACTGGAGTTCTGAACAGAGGAGGAATGGCTTTGAATCCAACACTGATGCAGAAAAACAGTTTAAACAACAGGTTATCACTGACATGGACCATTTGGCCTAGAGCAGGTTAGGAGTGTTTGCAGGGACAGCTCAGTGGGGATGGGAAGCTCCATCACAGGACAGAAATGGGCAGATGTGGCAATAATTTGCACTGTAGCAGCCAGAGGACAGCTCCCTTCTTCCTCAGCTCCGAGCTGATGCTGCTGTTCCCAAACTGTGGTGCAGCTCATACTCAAAGGTGACCGAAGTTATATCATGGCAGTCTCTGTGACACAGTAAATGAAAACTGTGTACGCTGAGAACCAGATAAATTCTTGGTTGGTTGCTTTTTAACGATAGGTTGTGCTGTGGGAAATACTGTGGGTTTTTCAAAGCAGGGATTGATCGTGCTGCCTCAGTTCAGGGACTCCTGCTGAGATCAGTGCAAGCAGAACCAGGCTTTTGAAGAACTCTCCTCTAGAGTTCCTGTAGCTCACAGGGAGAGAGRAGCCTGCTCACAGCCCCTCAAACACCTCCAAGAGCAAGGACGGGATGAGACAATCATTACTTTCTACCCTCAGGAGAGATAYGGTTTGCTGGTGGCTGGGAGAGTTTGACTGAGCTGAAATTCTACTCCAAACCCCTTCAACATCGGTGCCCTGATCTGTATGAGGAACCCTCCATTCCTTTAAGTTGAGTTACAAAAACATAATAAGACAGCAATCAGCAGAGCAACAATGACTGACACTGCCAGAAATCAGACTCCAAGGAGAGGATGGACTGAGCATTGGGGTGTCTGAATTCTGCTGAGACAATGTTTGTGGTGAACAGCAACAGAGCTTCTCATGTCCCATCTTCAAATGTGCCCTGAACAAGGATCACAGGCTAAAAAAGTGCTTTACCTTGACATATTAATGTTAATACGTTATATTTAACTGTTAATAAAGTGTAAATCTACTGCTGAGACTTTGGAATCACTGGCAAACCCACAGTAAATCCATAGGCAACTGATCCAAGTGAAAACAAGTATTCCTAGCCCACCCCACAGGAATGCTGGGCAAATTAGTGCCTGATGAGAAAAGCTCAGCTGTTTGATGAATAAAAGAGACAGCCTGCTGTCATAATTTAAAATAATATCTTAATTTTTGCAAGCATCCTATGATTTCAGCATAGCTGATTGCATAGTATGACAGAACCGAATTTTTATTTTTATGTATGCAAATAATAATAAGCAACACAATACAGCACCTTTTTTTTTTCTTTTTTTCTTTTTTTTTTTTTTTTCAAATTTCCTGCTAGGAGTTCTCCCTGGGATCTTATATTTTCCATTTACTTATCTTTGCTTGGCAAGCCATGCCACCCCTTTGTGGCATAAAATGATTTGTCTCTTTATGCACATTCATGAGAGTCAATTTATACAAGTTTACTTCTTATCTCAGCTGAAGCTTCATCAAACGAAAAAAATGGTCAGTTCAGTTTATTACTTCCAAGCCTTTACAAGTCAGAAAAGTGTTTTCATTAAAGATTACACATAGACTGAAAAAGAAACCCCAGCCATTTCACTGACACAAGATATCACCATGCGCCCAAACACRCAGAATGATAGCAAGACTTTAATTTATACTGTGAAATTCAATTACTTAAACATTCCTTAACACAAATTGGTTTTGTAGCCTACACCTCTAAAACAACAATTCCAGCCTCTGGCCTAATTGCTTAAGTATCTACCTTCATCTTTAACTATTTTGATCTTATAAATAYAATTCACACAGTCAGCCTGACCCCCATGAAACAAAAAAGACACTCCTCACCAGAAAACTGCAATATATTATTGATGACAGTAATGAAATTACAACACACATCATTCATCTTCATGGGCTTGTTTCTATGACACATCCAAGTGACCTGAAAGGTGTAACACTGAGGTAGGAAACCTAATTAATAACTTCAGGCAGTACCTCTGAAAGAGATAAAAGGGCTACAAACCAAGCAAACAGCCTCAGAAAAATAAAAAAACCATAAACAGAATGTCTTCTATAACTTTTATGAGCCCTTTGCAGGCCTAGGAGCATAAGCACTACYGATCAAAATAATGGCATTAATGCTGCTCTACATTTCCACAAATGAGGTGGTATTGGCACACCCACCAGACCAGAATGAATTTGACAGATTCTTGAATGACAGATCACACTAAAAATATATGGACTTTAGCAAAACTTCAATATTAGGATTGGACAGCACAAGATAAAACTGGTTTACTACATTATTCTTGTCACGAAAAACGATTTTTTAGCTTACAAGAAAATTTTGTCTGTAGGTAATGCACAACACAAGATGAATTATTCAGGCACTTACAAAGAGACTCCTATCTAAGAGTCCATGTTTGAGATTTTGAAAAGTAATTATTAAATCATTAGGGCATGATGGTAAGTCTACTGTCCCACGTGAAATGAGTGCAGGTTTTCTCTGTGGAATCACATAAAAATTGTTTACAGGTAAATGCTATTGGCAGCCTCTGTCTACTCCAGTTATAACACAATGGGATATGTCTTCAGTATCCTCACAAACTCAATTTTGTAATTCCCTGAATTGTTTTTTTCTTGTACTCTCCAAGAAAAAAAACAAAAGCAGCACACCAGAACAAGGATTCTCTGATTTGACCTTTCTCCTGATATTGTTCAATTTTGAATGCACTTTTCTTACATCCAGGAGTCTGTTTTCATGTTTGTAAGACATAAAATATTATTACTTTGGTAAATAAGTAAATGCACTCTAATAACAATATTCACATGTTGGGACTTCCAGTTCCACATGATGGCTATTTATTATAGGACATGAAAATAYTGCAAATTCTTCTCTGGAAGAAGATGATTTATACTGGTTTGTTTATATAAGTCTGCACCTCAGAAACTTTTGCAGCAAACATGCAGCAAGTTTTCCTTCTTCCTCTAGGCCCGTCAACCTTTTGATCTCCAATGGTTCTCCCTCCTTCTCTTCTTTTTAAATCTTTTTGACACCCACATGCAATTTTGTTATCTTACCTATTTTATTTCACAGCACTATTGTGGCAGAAGGTTTATAATTATAAAATTACAGCTGCTGRCCACGTAAGATTAACTTTTATCAGGAGAAAATTTATGCCCTGGTGAACTGTCATTACATGCCATTAGAGTTGATACAAAAGAAACCCTTTTTTCTTCTTTTTCTRTAATATTTATTCCTTGCTGGATGGGATGTTGGAAGCCAACCAGTCAGGGCAGCTCAGCTGTAAATGTCACCACTCCTTCACTGCCCTAAGTCCTCACAGAGTCAGCATGGCACATTTAAGTATCCTCTATTTGCAGTATTTTTTTCCTAAATTGTGTTTCCTACACATCCCATCCTTTTTTAAAGGCCTTTTTGCTTTCCTTTAGTGTTCCCATTCACTGCAAACTGTCTCACCAGTACATATTCCAGTGATAKATTTAAAATCATGTGCACTCAGAGGTGAGTGCCTGCCCGAAAGGGATGTGTTTGCATGTTATCAGCAGTTGATAAGCTGCAGGTAATCTAGATATCA